TTTTTTTTCCCCGCTCCCTATTTTTTTCTAAAAAATTTTTTTTTGCAGTCTTTTTTTTTTTTTTTTTTTTTTTTGAGTCGCCAGCTGTCCGGATGAAGTTTTCATGTTTCTGTGGAGATTTGGGTCTTAAATTCCATTCGTAGTGGTCTTAAAAAGGTCTTAAATTTGAGTTTGTGAGACCGGCAAAAACCCTGGATAAAGTGTGTTTTCAAAGTGAGGTCGGACCACATGCTGGTGTTCTCCGTCGGCTACATATCATCTGTCCTCCCGCGTGAAAATCACCAATCTGTCGCCTTCTTTCCCTTCCTGGATGCAGTCGAGCGAAGTGCTCGGCACGCAGCTGGTTGCCCTGGAGTCCGAGAAAGCGGAGCTGGTGCAGACTCTGTCAAAGGTGGAGGCGGAGCTCGCGGTCCAGGGGGAGGAGCTCCAGCGAGTTCAGAGCTCTCTGGCGACCGAGCGGGAAAGCGGAGTGAAGACGGCCGAGGCCCTGCAGAATCAGCTCAACGAGAAGGTCAGGGGTTGCTCTGGTGAACCGGCAGCGTCGTGTCACGTCGCTAATGGGGCCCAGTCAAATATTTACCTCTAACCACAGGAGAGCAGGGAGCAGGCGCTGGAGAGTCAGCTGGTGGCGGCACGCTGGTCCAGCCTGCAGGGAGCCGTGGAGGAGGCGGAGCGGATCATCCAGGACTCTTTAGCTCAGATAGACGACCCGGCACACATCAGCTGCACCAGCTCTGCAGGTCAGGTTCATGCGGCGCTCGGCAGCCGGCTCAGTCACTCGTCGCGGACAGGCTCTCATTGTGTCCGTCCATCTCCGCAGACTACCTTGTGTCTAGATGCCAAGCCTCTTTGGACTCCGTGGAGCGGCTGCAGAGCGCCAGAGAGGCCTTCTTGGCCGACAACACAGGTGAGGAGCTGAAAGTGCCAACTGCTTTTTGTCGGGGGTTAATTTCAGCTTCTGAAAGCAGGTTTGGTTTTCCAGTGCCGTCCCAGTCTAATAATCTCTCATCCATCCTTGAGTACGTCTCCTTGTTTCTCCATCCATTCGTTTGTTCATTTATTCACCCATCAATTGATCCGTGCCTGCATTGAAAATGTATTTAATTCATCCATCCATTAATAAATCATTTCATTTATCCATTTGAAATTCATCTATCCATCCATGACATTTTCATTATGGAAAAAAAAAGAGCTTCACTCCATGTTGGATTGTAATTTTACAGAGCTACTTAAAGCTGCAGTATGTAACTTTTATAGAGAAAAAAAAATGTTTTTAAATATTTAATAAAACCGTCACTATGTCCTGACTTTATGAGACAAATGATCTGTGAACATATTGATCTCCTCTTCCTCCTTTCTGTGATTCCACAGCCATCTGCAAAAATCCACCGCTCCCGGTCAAAAACAACCAATTGGATCCAAGAGGAAGGTCTTAGTGCTGTCAGTCATGTTCTTGTAAGCGCTGCTCAATGTGCTAAAGCCAGAAAAAAAAACTTGCCTTTCCAGGAAAACTCTATCTGTTGTCATTGGTAGACAAGCTAACTAACCTGAGTATTCATGACAGACTCTGTTGTGGTGCACCAGCTGTAAGTGTAGTAAAGAGCAAGGTTCAGGGTGTGAGCAGCATGTACATGTGATGTGATTGATGGCGCTAAGACCCTCCTCCTGACTCTGATTGGTTGTTTCTGACTAGTTTGGGTGTTTTCTGAAGGCAGAGGAGCTCGATATTTGCAGATTTGTCTGTTGTGACAGTTTTAACAAATATGTTAACAAAAAAAAGTAAAAAAAGTACAAAAGTAACATGCTGTGGCCTTAAGGGGGCTTGGGTTAAAAAAATGTTGATTTCTCGAAGTTGGCTCATGCTAGCCAACCAAGCAACATCCACAAACTCAGAACGACTGTAGATGTACAAACAATTTTCTGAAAACACCAAAAAGTTCAAGAGTAAAAGAATGAAAATGTGCGTTAGTCGTGTTCCATTGCAGTTTTAAGCAATAATGGCAGTAGTATTACAATTGCATGCTTTTCTAATCCTAATGCTGCACAAATATGGACTTTGAAATAAATATTATTTATTGGTGTTTTTTTTGTCCCCCCCCCTCCCCCTCTGCATACATCGTGCAGCCGTGTTGGAGCTGGTGCGAGTGGTGACCCAGTGTGGCCACCTGGTGGGCGACACCATCGTTCAGGGCAGCGCCACCTCCCACATGGTTCCTGTGGAGCAAGCAGACGGTAGGTGTGTGTGTGTGTGTGTGTGTGTGTGTGTGTTGCAGGTGTGAGAGTCGGATGGTATGATTGATGTGCAAGAAAAAAACAATCAAGTCTTATACAATTTTAAGTTAACAGTGAGGAGGATATATAAAGTTCTATTCTTAATTTTATATGAAAACAAAGATTTATTTTGTAATTGAGGGTTTTATGAGGTTTTTCTGCTTCCTGCTCCTCGTCTCTTTCATGTAGATGAATTTTTACAAGACGATGCTTTTGCACGTTAGTGATGAAATGTGCTTTGAGTGAATAAACATATTGACGCAACATAATGATTTCTTCAGCTTCTATCATCAGTACAACTCCTCCTCCATGTTTTTTTTTTTTTCTTTTTTACCAAAAATGTCTATCGTTTTGTGAAACTGCTTCCGTTTAGGGTTTACGTCAACTCCTCACTCGTCCCGTTCCATAAATCTGCCCCACTCACTCCTCCGTATTGTACAAACAGTTAAACTGTGTCTCTCCCTCAGCTGCCAAATATTTGTTGAACATTTGAAACATAAGAGCTGGTTTATATTTAATGCAAAATTTTTTATTTTTTACTATTTGAGAAGCCGATCAGCAGTCTGTCTGGCCGAATGATCAGTTCATCATTAACTGACACAATTAAGTGAACGGAGGATAAAAAGCTGAATGAAACCAGCATGGTGCCGTCTGCATTCATCATGTCAGGATTTCTGCTGCTTCTTTCGTTCCCGAAACATTAACCCGTCCGTCCTGCATGTTTCTGTTCTCTCTGCAGCGCTGTCGGAGAGCGTGAAGACGTGCGGGTCAGAAGCTCTGGCTCTGCTGGGCCAGATGAAGCAGCGGGACGCCCTTGCGTCAGCCGACGGCAGCAAGCTGAGGGCGTCTCTGGAGGCCATCCTGACCACGGCGGAGGTCCGAGTCGCTCCAATTATCGAGCGTCTGATCTGATCAGCCGTGCGTCGCTATACGTGTCTCGTTCTCGTCTCCAGAAGCTGCGCCCGCGGGGTCTGGAGCTGCAGCAGGGGGAGCTGGGAGATCTGGTGGAGCAGGAAATGGCTGCCACTTCGGCCGCCGTGGAGTCCGCAGCCGCCAGGATAGAGGTGAATGGCTCCGCCTCGTCAGCCACCCCCGATTCACTTCCGAACGGTACCGACTGGAAAATGTCTTTGTTTTTCCCCTCCCCTGTGCCTCTGTGTCCCGACAGGAAATGCTGAACAAGTCCCGAGCGGTCGATACAGGAATCAAGATGGAGGTCAACGAGAGGTAAGTCTCAGATCAGAGGAAGATCGCCGAGCCTGCTGGGAGTTGATTTCTCTTTCAATAAACTGTGGGGCCCTGAGACATGACTGGATTCATGCAGAGCTCATCGTGAGCTGGGAGTAAAAGTCAGTCATTAGGCCCTCTGGCCTGAAACCTTTTAATCACATTTTACCTCTGAGTAAATGGCTTCAGCACCCAAATTATTGCTCAGAGTGCAACATTGTATCAAAACGGCTAAAACTACCTGGGTTCATTTAGTTGTGTATTATTAGCTTAGATCCTGTAACTCGTCAAAACTATGATGGGAGAGTTGGAAAAAAAAAAAAAAAAAAAACTACTGAAAAATATGAGACTATCTCAACTGATTGAGCTGAACAAGACCAGAAACACTTAAACTAGTTAAAGTAGTTTTAAAAACATTCTTCTAAGGTTGCAGCAAAAAAAACTACCTAAATTTTTTGTAAACTAAAAGTGTCAATATTAAAGAGATAATAAGAACTACAGCTACGCATCAGTTGTGTCTAGCAACACTGGGCGAACTGACACATTTTTTTTTTATTCTTCCTTCCTTCAAATCGAGTAATTCTGCTGCATCCCTCACTGGCGTTTTAATCTAGAGTGTTTCTCCAACGCCGTTCATGTTCTGTGCTCTGTCGCCCCCTGCAGGATCCTGGCTTCCTGCACAGAGCTGATGCAGGCGATCAAGGAGCTTATTTTGTCTTCGAAAGATCTGCAAAGGGACATTGTGGAGAGTGGCAGGGTGAGTTTTACGGGGCTCGGTTGTATGGAATTTTAATTTTGTTGTTTTCCAAGCATTTGTGCGATTAAGAAAAGTTTCCACACATAATTTTATATTAAAGTTTTGAAGAAAAAATCCAAATTGAAATGCCTGAAAAGAGGTCGTTACATTTATTTATAATTAGACATCATTTACATTTGTTGGATCATAACTTAGGGTTTTGTCCAACTTGTTGTTTGTTCTGGGCTTTGAACCCACTTCTAGTAGAGCTCTCATTCAAAGTAAATAAACTGATAATTTCCTGAAACTTTTCTAGCATCATTCCTCTCCCCGATCACACACTCAATCAGTAGCTTGAAGCAATCCAACCCTAGATCAGGACAGCTGATCACAGATTGCAGTGTAAAGTTGATTGCAGTGTAATTTGTGCTGAATTATTTTGAACCGTTTTTAAATCTGTGAATCCGAATGGAAACTATAGGTTCTGAATTTAAAATTTTAAAGGAACCCTGGTTTAAATAGCCATCAGGATGTTAAATTATGTTTAAAATAAGACCAAATGGCAGCAGCAAATTTTAATGGACTCTAATTTTTTGCATTTGCTGCAATATATGTGAATTAATTTTAATTGAATTACGTTTAATTGTAGGCTGTTCCTTTGCCTGAGAGTAAATGAGGTGATGAATGTTTCACTGTGTAGCTGCTTTTGCTTTTCTGTCCACCAGGGGGCGGCCTCCATGAAGGAATTTTACGCGAAGAACTCCCGCTGGACGGAGGGCCTGATCTCTGCCTCCAAAGCGGTTGGATGGGGCGCCACGGTCATGGTGTAAGTATGAAAAGACTTCTGTCTGCTCAGTCGGCAGTGTGGGCCGCTGGCCTCGTTCTGAGACTCCTAAATATGCAGAAGCTCATTCAGTGTATAACGAAACTAACGTATTTAGATCATTTTACGAGTGTGTTTAATGTTTAACCTCGTGTATATCCCTCTGGTGTCACCAATGTGCTCTTAAAGCGTCCTCTAGTTCATTTTGAGCTAATTTAGTTGTTTGGTTCCAAGTGACGCTGCCGACATGGTGGTGCAGGGAAAAGGGAAGTTTGAGGAGCTGATGGTGTGCTCCCATGAAATCGCTGCTAGCACGGCACAGCTAGTGGCTGCTTCAAAGGTAAACAGTCAAAACTTCCTTTTTGTCCTGCTTTCTTCACTTTTTTTTTTTTTTTTTTTTCTTTTTTTGTTTTTTGCTTTTCACATTTGGATTCTTGTTGGTGGTTGTCAATATTGCCTCTCCTCTCCTGTAGGTGAAGGCAGATAAAGACAGCGCTAACCTGCACCGACTGCAGCAGGCGTCCCGCGGCGTCACCCAGGCAACCGCCACTGTTGTGGCCTCCACCAAGTCTGGGAAATCCCAGATTGAAGATACAGGTGAGAAGTCATCCTAATGACGCCGTTTCTCACCTGCTTGCTTTTTATGAAGTTATTCTTTTTTTTTTTTTTTAAATAAATGTCACAAATTGGAGAAAATGTTCAGTTTTAATTTGTTTAAATGTGCGTCTAGAAACGATGGACTTCTCCAGCATGACTCTGACCCAGATCAAGCGACAAGAGATGGACGCACAGGTAACCTTGAGTAAAACTGACACACTCAGGAAAAATCAAAACAGAAATTTGACACGATCCGATTGCTTTTATTTAACAGAAAAGTAAGCATTCCTGTTGTTGATGCAGTTTTCAGCAAAAACTGCATCAAAAAAAAGAGGTAATTTTCCATAAACTTGCTTGAGCTGAATAATTCAGTACATTAATTCAATAAAATCTTACAAAAACATCATACAATTATTCTTTACCCCTTAACAGATTTCTTTTCTGTTTTTTTTCCCACACTTAAATGTTTCAGCTCAAACAAATGTTAATATAATCCAAAAGTAACCTGAGTAAATGCGAGAGACGTTTTCAAATTCTGATTTCTTTTATTAAGCAACAAAAACTTTCTGTAGCAATTTTTAAGTAGCAGAAAACTGATGAGGAGATTCACCTCAGGATGGCTCAAAAACAACACAAAAAACCCAACAGAATGAAAGTTTTAGAGTGGCCTAGTCAAAGTCTAGACGTGAGATCTTGCGCCATGACTTCAATGCTTGAAAACCCTCCAAAGTGGCTGAAATAAAAATCCCTTCTGAAGTTCTTGTCATTTCTACTTGCAATAAGAAAGAAATCTGTAAGGTTCCTAACACTTTTTTGTTGTTGTTCTAACTGCTAAAAACCCAAGCGCTGAATTGCTAAAGAAATCCTGTTTGTCTTTAGGTTCTGGTTCTGGAGCTGGAGACCCGTCTGCAGAAGGAACGGGAGCGTCTGGGCGAGCTGAGGAAGAAGCATTACGAGCTGGCAGGTGTAGCAGAGGGCTGGGGCGAGGAAGAGGAAGGTGATTAAAAAGAAAACGCAACACAAGGGGGGAACCACATTCCTGGGAAGATTCCTGGAAGTAATGTGGCTTAAATGTTTGAAATTCTTCCTCTTCCTCCTCTGCAGGCACGGGATGAAACCCCCCTCTTCTTCTTCTTCCTCCGCCTCCACCCGAAGACCTTCTCCTCTCCCCCTCTTATTTATAGACACGCTTCTCTGTTTTATTTTCTGCCTTCCCTCACATTTATCTGCTTGTTATATCCAAGCCAAATGAAAAGGTGCTGCTTCTTCTTCTTCTTTTTCCAATCCCTCTCGCTTCTTCGTACACCCCAGCCAGATTCACGGAGGTGCTCCGGCAGCAGGCGGGGGTCAGGATGGAGGAGCGCCGCCTCACTTCTCCGCTGCAACACTCCGTTTGTCTCCAGTCCCCCGTTTTAAATGACTGCGCAGCATCGAGGAGTCGCACAGGACACGAGCACAAGGGGCCCAAACTCTCGGAGAGCAGGGGTGGATCACAGTGTCTCCATGTAGCTTGGCTGCTGTGCTTGCTCTTCTGTCCACCGATGCGCGTGTGCTACGTCACGAGCTGAATCAGCTGAAGGAGCTTCCTCCACGCGGTTGCTCCCCAGTTTTCTTCCTCTTCTGTTCTCACTGTGACTTAAAGTCCGTTCGGCTTCCGGGCTTCCTGCCTTCCACGTCCTCGCCATTATAACGACCAGGACTGTTAAGCTGAACGACTCTCATCCCTCCACTTTATTTTTACTGTACCGGATAAAATATAATCGGCATAATGCCGACTATATACGGACAATCCACACCCTCATAATGAGGGTGTGGATTGTCCGTCGTCGGAGGTGGAGGTTGCTGCACAAAACACTAACAAGACGTTTTCTTTTTTTTTTTGCAATGTATTTATAAATCGGAATGATACAAAGTTTGATATTTCATTGACATTTAATTGCATCGGTTCAGATCTGGGATCCAATCACGTGAAGAGACGAAGCGCGTCTTCAGGAACTTTCTGATCATTTAGAGGAATCTGCACAAGAAGCATTTGTTTTCAAACATTTCATCACCTCCACAGTACAAAAACGTCGGTGCATTAACGGATTCCTTAAGACCGTGTAGCTGTGGGCATAAACTCCAAGCCATTTGCTGTCGCAAAGAACTGTTTGCTTTTCTTTCTACACAAAGATCCGGTGCACCTGAACGCCACGCGCCTTTTGTTCCCATGCGTCTCTCTGCTCAGACTAATGAAGCGACTCTTTAAGTTGGACTCTCCAAGAAGAGCAGGCGCTTTATTTTGTGGTTTCTCTTTCGCGATTCTAGCCAACACCTTTTTACCTTCCTCCTGTGTGTTCACGCCAACGATGATTCTGTGTCTTAACGCTCAGCCTCACTAGATGCTGTTGGGCTTTTGTTTTTTTGTTCTTTTTAACAGACGCTGCTTGGTTTGAATTAGATAATTTTTCTTCCACGTAAAGAGAAAACAGCGAGGTAGTCGGAAGAAAAATAAGTTTCTATTGCCATCTGCTGCTCCAACCAGGTTAAAGCAAGCATCATTTACTGTACTGTTACTTCCAGGTTGTTGTATTTAATCACAGTTTTAGCTGATTCACCTGGAGAATGATATACATAGTCCAGAAAAAAATGGATGGAAATCTCCTTACAGTGGTATCTCAAGTGTCTTGAAAGGTAAAAGTGCACACAACTTGAGTGATTTGGTTTTCACCCTTTATTCGTTGCTCACATGCTTTTTATTGATTAACTTTTTCCTTTTTTTTTTTCTTTGGTCCCTTTATCATTTTGGGGTTTGTCTGTAGATCCACCAGCTCAGCCAGCCTTTTCAAACTGCCTCATACTGTAGTCGGAGACAGATACTCGCATAGCAACATTGAAATATGTCTTTGTATGATATTATACTAAACCAGTGTTGGTGGGTGTGTTTTTATTTTTCCAGTTTTTGAAATAAATACTTTGATTCATTAATACAGACTGACGACTGAATGTAGTGGCTTTCTTTCCCCCCCTCAAATAAGTGTTCAACCATTGAACCTTTTAGCTTTAGCTGCCACCAGACTGAAAACTTAATAAAACTCGGAAATTCTGTTTTTCAGAAGAGAAAAGACGGAAAACGGATTCTTAAGATAGAAATGTGATGTTGTTGCCGACATCGCATGTGTCGAATCTGACCCGCTGTAGCTTATGTGGCTTTCTAGACTCCAAATTACATCAATAAGACCCTCCAGTTTTTCCACAGATCCACAATAATTCACACAAAATCAACAGATTCCCAAATTCTTTTTGATTTTACTGACATTTTCTCTTCAAAATTGGTGAAACTTTGGGTTTGAGTGACAGCCGCTTCAGCCTTACTTCATGTCAAGTTATCTGTGACCGATACGATGAATAAAAAGTCACACTTAACATCACACATTAGTGCAAATATCGTAAAAAGTGTTTAGAATTGTTCCTAAATTAGCGCTGCGAAATCTGGTTTTGAATCCTAATAAAAAAAATCTCTAAATCCTGAATGGACTGAACAGTGTGGAAAAAATGCTAAATATTTTATTTCAAGAAACACTTATTGAATGGTGAAACTATTAATATTTTTAGCAATTTAATGGGTTTTATCAATACATTCTGGCACAACCGGCCCTTTAAGAACATTCAGGTGTTTGATATTATGGCCCAAAATGAGTTTGACTCCCCGGGCCTACAAAGTTATTAGGAAGACTGCTGACTTTGCTCATTGGGACATTCAGAGCAGCAGAAATTGTTAGAGCTTCATGGCAAAGGCTTGAATATTTACGTAAATGCTTTCTATTTTTAAAACATCTGCAAAAAAAATAAACCACAATGGGGTATTTGTTGGTAGCATTTTTGAGATTAACTAAATACAATTTAGGATAAGGCTGTAAAACGAAACCCTGTGACTACTTTCCAGACGAACTATAAACATGAAGAAAAGAGGAAACCCTAGTATTTTTTTTAAATGTTTCACTGAAGACAAGGAAAGAAGTCAGTAAGACTGTTTAATTTCTAACTTTAGTTGTAAAAACATTTAGTGAGATGCAAGGACTCTGCTTGCAAGAAGTGCCACAAAAAGCAAGCGGGAGGAATTGGCATTGGTGAGGAAAACTATCTTTGAGTGTGCAAGCTCGTTTTAAAAATCCTCTCGCCAATTAATGGTTGCTCCACATTATTCCAAATATAAGGAAATGTCCTTCAATCGAACATTTTTTATTATTTTTTTTCCCTTTATGCTGAGAGAGGAGGTAGAGTGTACAGAGCGGAGCGGTGACGTTTCCCTCCGTGCTGCTGTCCTGTCGCAGGCAGAATGTGCTGGGTGTTGCCTGCAAGGAAGGCAGAGCCTCAACTATTTATAGCCTCTGCAGTCCGGAGCTCAGCGTCCTTACAGCAGGTCTCCTGGCAGCAGTGAGTCTCGACACAGATTCAATAAAGAATGCTGAAAAAAAAAAGTATCCAGATTCCTTAGAACTTTTTCACCTCAAGCTTCAATGTATTTTATTGGATTTTATTTGACAGACCAACACAAAGCTTTCAAAAATGTTGCATATATCTTTAATCTAGTCCAGGTTATTGCCTTCACAACTCACCTGATTGTTCGAGGATGTTGTATAACCCACCTTTTACGTCAAGGTGTTGGATGATTTATTTATTTATTTTTTTTCCAGGGGCTCATGAAGTAACAAACGGCATCATAAAGACCAAGAAACATGTCGGGCAGATCAGAGAGGAAGTTGTGAAGAAGTTTATGGAAACTCTCAAAGAGCACAGTTTAGTTCATCATTCTATAAATAGTGTGACACAACTGCAAAGCTGCTAAATCACTGTCATCCATCTAAACTGACAGGCAGGACATCGGGATTAATCATCAGTGAAGCAGCCAACAGGCCCCATGGTTACGCTTGTGGACCTGCAGGTGCCAAAACATAATTCGTTGTTGGGGGAGGCCAAAAGAGTTCCTGTTTGCAGTTTTCCATGAGCCATAGGGAGTAGGACGCAGCAAACCTGAGGAATAAAGTGTTTTATTCAAATGAAACCAAAATGTTGCGTTTTGGCCTAGATGCAAAATCCTGTGTGGCTAAAACATGGTGGTGGCAGCATCATGTTGTGGGAATACTCTACTTCTGATGCAACAGAGAAACACAAAAGACTTGAGTCAGGGGGCTATAACACAAACACAGTAGCGTAATCTGAATCATTTTTGCCAAAGAGTTGAGTTATCCAGGTTTAAGTTTTGATCCAGACCTAAATGGTGCATTTTCTGCTCCAAAGCAGCTAGATTTATTTATTTGTTTTGCTATCTTTTAAATCGAACTCAATCTGCAGTCAGGCTTATGAGAAAATCCGACTTCTTGGAAGAAAATGCAAACAAAATATATATATTCTTGGCCTTCATTGTAGATTATAGTTGTGTTTTTACTGAGAAACAAAGGAGGTCAGTGAACCCTTTCACTGTGCAGGCAGCACAGCAGAAGAAAACCACAAAGCATGTTATTCCTCTGATTAGCCAAAGTGCATTGAGAAGGTTTCTGTGACAAAACCCACCTGCCAGTTTCCTTTGTGCCAAAGCGTCCTACTGACCTCCAGAGGCTTGTCACAACGGAGTACCCGCCTCGTGATCACGTACCGCAGCACAGGGTGGGCTTAAGTGCTGCTTTCTAAAAATACATGCTTTTACCTTCCAGCTGACATAAAATTCTTCCTGCAGCTGTTTTTGCGATCCAGGAAACGTTTGACAAGAAGGCGACTCTTCTGGTCCGCTGTTGTTAGGCTTGATGGAATAGTGGGTGGATGCACCGGGTTCTGCTTCAGACTGATTTTCCTCATATTTGAATTGCTTTTTTTTTTTGTCCACCTAAGTGGAGTTTCTTCCACTTGTTTTGATCACGTTGTGCTACAAGGTTCTGTTTTAGTGTCTTGAGTTGTTCCATTACATCTACTTCCACTTCAGCACATTTTGACCATGTTTTGGAGACGATGTGCATCGCTGCTATGCAGACGATACTCTGGTGTATATCTCTTCTACAGAGAAGCAAATAGTCATCAAATTTTCCTTTCATTTGTATCGGATTTAATATTTTCTTTGATAATACTTAGTCATCTGTCAGATGTTGACTCAATGAATCATAAGAATCAAAAGTCATTTCTTAGGTCACGGCTTACTGGGAGGATGCTTTGAATGTTTGTAGATTTGCTTTGGTTTGTGCTGTCCGTTGAGCTGAAACTCACAGGACATTTACCTCTGCATCTCACAGCTGATTATAAAGCTGCGAGGTATTGAAGCAGAAGAAAAACAGCTGAGTCACAAGAGGGTTGAGGAGGGATTTGCATGAGAACTAACAAACAAATCGTCACTGCAGAGTGCAGCAGGGGACCCAGAGTCCTGATGCGTTTCTTAGAGAAGAAAACCTTCCACTGCATGATCCGATTCGCAAGAAAGCAGAGAGGAAAAAACAAATCTCCAAAGAGCCGAAGCGTCATCTTTCCAGTGCGACTGTCAACTGGCTGAGTGGACGCAGGATGTAAGTGTCTGATCACTCCTGCTGTTTGGTGGGGTTTTATTTATCCTAACCAGACAGCCGGTCCTTTGAACAGCAAGTGTCATCACTCAGGCCAGCCTCACTGTAGCTCTTTGAACCAATGTTTTTGTGCCGGCCGGCTCATTGTACTCTGGCCTCGGATTGAATGGCTGACACAGATATGAGGTCACAGCGTGAGGAGGAAAAGAAAGCAACCTTCTCTATCCACTGAAGGCCCTGTGGGCACTTCTGCCCAAGTAAACAAAAACAGCAGGTGTCGCCGGTCAAAAGGAAAAGGCTCCTCGTTGATTTCCAATACTTACTGTAACCTATCTGTACTGTCGTTTTTCATCGTCATTTTAAATAGAAGTTGCCCTCCGTTGAAAAGCTGAGAGGATGTTTGTGTTCTTGTGATCTGTAAACAGACCCCAAGGAAAATAATTAGGCTGTTTGCACAATGCATCTGGAAAAGTTAATTAAAGCAATTAATCAGGGACAGAGGCATCATAACAGGTCTAGTAGCTGGTATTGTTGCAT